GTGCTTGTTTAAAGTCACTAAGCTTGATTTTGATTACCTCTTTAGTTGAGGTGAGGAGAAGTTGGTGGAGCTGGAGCTCCAACCTCCTTCTTCTTCCATACCCATTTTCCTGCTAATGGCTGGTTCTGTTTGTCCCTGGTTGACATCCCATGCCTGATCTGTCTGAAACTTGGTTTGGCTGGAGGCTTCATAGCCTTGGTGGTTAAGTTCTCATTGCCCTTCAAACCAGCTTCAAGCTTCAAGTCAGCATTCAGTGTCTGTCCTGGCTCAGTAGGGGAAGTATCAGCCGAAAACATATCCATAGTGAAGCACCACACATCATCTAGGTTATCTGGGAGATTTCATTGTTCACCCTCTTGCTCAAGTACTCCACAGAAGGTGAGAGAAGGAGAGTCAATTTTGTAGACCTTGAATTCATCAACATTCTTCAAGATTACAGAACCTCTTTTGAAGTCTAACTGAGCTCCTGCTGTTGCCAAGAATGGAGTGCCTAGGAGGAGAGGCACTTCTCTGGAGTATGTTTTCTCCATGACCATAAAGTCTGTTGGAACCAGGCATTCTCCAATCTTCAAAGGGTAGTCTTTCACTATGCCCAACGGCTTTGTGGAAGTGTTGTCCACAAAAGTGAGAGAACCCCTGGACGGCAGCAGTTTCTTGATCCCCGGAGTTTGGCTAAGGTGGAGGGACATAATATTGACAGTTGATCATGAATCACATAGACCTTTTACATTGTCAAGCATGTCCAGCTCACAAGTGATTAGGAATTTTCCTGGGTTTGCGAGTTTGGGCAGTGACTTGATTATCTTACTTCTTTTCATGTCAGCCCCCACATTCTCAAGAATTGGTTCCACCACTTCCAGCTTGTCAAAGACTTCTTTCAGGAACTTGATTTGATGTTTAACTTCCAGCAGAGTGGTGCTATGTGGGAGTTGTATTCCAGCATCTTCAATGTCTTGCTTAAACTTTGTGTATATCTCCATTCTAGCTTTTGTGAAATGCATTGTGGGGTAGGAGAATGGTGGTTTACAGACTGGAGCTAAGAGTTCTTTACCCTTTGCAATAGTGCTTGAAGAATTACCCACTTGATTATGGTAAAGTTCCTTAGATTCCTGAGGAGTGTTGTGAGACAGAACCATCAAGGCATGGTGTATCTCTAGTTCCTCTTCTTCAGCATCAGGTTGTGCTAGTGTGGGGGTCTCTTCTGTAGCGGTTGGGGTTTCCTCAGCCCCCTCTTTCTGAGCAGTTTCTAGTGCTGCTCGTTCCTGTTCTTCTTCTCTGTTCAAGTGTTCATCAAAGCCACAGAGGAATGTCCCTACAACTTCCTGAGCTTCTTCATCACTGATGTTTCTTCTTCTGGATTCTCCTCCATACTCAACCCTCATCCTGCCTATGTGCAGCAGCATTTCTTCGATCATGATGCCTAGCTCTTCCAATGAAGCATGTTCATCAGTGAATTCCTCTTCTGCTTCCTCTGCCTCTTCAGTAAGTAGATGGCAGAATTCCTGGAGGTTGTGGACAGTTTGAGCTACATTCTTAGCGTCAGGGGTTTCAACAGGGTCTTCCCCTGTGGCATCAATAATCTCATGTGGTGCCCACCACTGATCTTCTTCCTTGTTGGTGCCTTCTTTAAGAAATTTCCCCTTAGTTGCATAAGTTTCAATAGGCTCCCCTCCCCCATTCAGGGTGTCAATGTCCTCATTGATTAAGGAGAGGAAGTCGTCAATGATGGCTTCTTATTCAATAGGAGTAAAGGTAACTATAGATTCAACAGCTTGGCAGTACTCATAGGTGGTGTCTAAGGTTTCTATCCCTGAATGCAAATCATCAGACGTGGTGTTTAGTTTAGCATGAACAGAGTCTAATTTGGTGTGCAACTCAGCAAATCCCTGATTCATCTTCAATTTGCAAGCAGTTGTAAGTTGATGAACTCAGTGATCAAACTCTTGATATCAGCTACAGTAGAAGTAGAATCAATGAGTTGAGCTTGGGGGATAGCAGGCGTGGGCTCAAACTGTGGGTGGGTATTGTGGCAGTCTGCAAAGTTGTTCATAGGCAGAGGCTCTTGGTAGAAGTTGTTGCACCTTGGAGTTTCAAAACAGAGCATCATCTCCACTTGTAGAGATGTACCTGAAATGAAAATGCTTGAAAAGGAGTGAGTAACCAAATAACACTAAAAGCTTGATCTTAAAGATTCTACAAACTCTAATGATTCAAACTGATTTCCAAATGGCAACGGCGCCAAATTGATACAAGGTTTTTACCCCTTGTAGGACAATTGCCCTAGCTTGTACTAGTCAGTTGCAGTATAGCATAGGGTTGTATCAATCCAAATGGGAAGAGTTGAAAGACAGAAGAGTTGAGAGTGGAATCTCTAAGTCAAGCAAGCCAGGAAAGGGGTTTTGTTGCTTAAGCAACAGTTCTAACAACCTAAGTGAAACAAGCAGCAACAAGGTGAAAGCAAAAGCAAACTAAGCAATTCTAAGCAAGAAAAACAGAGTGAAACAGAGCAAATTCGAAATTCAAATTAGGGAAAGACAAGTTCCTAGATGTGGTTATTGACTTTGGGGAATTTCAGACATCGATTAAGGTTGTTTCAAACTACATTGATCAAGCAGGTAAGCAAGCAATGGTGGTTCCTAGACATAGAGTTCACAACTAAGCTAGTTAGATCCAATCTCTTGGCAAATAACCCTTTGCTAAACATCTTAACAAGAACTAACTCTCATTAGTGCTAAAACATCAAGCAAGCAAAGCTAATCAACTCTATTCAAGTAAAAATGCTCCTCAAACAGACAATCTCTTGAGCCAAGACCAGCAAATCCTCTATTAAACAGGTTCAACATTTCATCAAACATTTGGTGGGCATAAGAGAAAGCTAACAACCTAGACCAGTTTGATCAAGACTAATCTAGCATGAATAACAGATTAATAGAGAGGAACCCATAAACAGAAGTACATAACAAGCCTTAATCAAGCCATAGATTCCCCTAATCTACCACATCTAGAAACCCTAAGGTAACTACTCACTCATAATCATGTTTAACACCAAATCACAAATGGAGAAGATGCTAATCATGATTAAAAGAAAGATTAAAGCAAATACTTGATTGTATTAAACAAAGCAAAGAAATTGTCTTACAAACTTAAAGAAATAGCTTAAGAACAGTATTTTGACAAGACCTCTCGAAAATATAGAAAATGGGCTATTTATAGCCTAAGGGAGAAAACCCTAGAAAGGTGGCAAAAGTGTAATTAAAAACAGGTTTGGGCTGGGTCAGTATCGGTCAGTTGTGTTGACCTCCAGTGACCGAAATTTATCTGTATCGATCATCAGTGATCGACACACACGACTGAAATTAGAAAGGTGTGTTTGTGTCGACCACATCAGACCGATACTGGTGATCGATACTGCACCATTTCGGTCACTAGAGACCAAAAATCACCAGGCTCTGACCGAAAACTTCTGCAGAGATCTTCTGTTTTGATCCTTCTTGCTCTCTTTTGTCCAGCTAGCCTCCTGGATCATTCCCAAAGCTCCTCCAAGCTCCTTTAAGCTCCAAAAGCACCTAAAAACATCTAATATACAAGAAAAATGCAATCTATACTCTGAATGCAACCTAAGTCTAAAAAGAGAAGAAAATGGGACACAAGCTAAGGGAAAATATGCAAAAGAGGACCAAAACATGTACTAAATGCAGCCCTAAATGGTGTAAATACAAGGGATATCAGAGCGTTTCAAAGGGTTTTAGAGCAACACTTTTTTTTCTTTTAGATTTAAAACGTCTGAGATTAGGGTTTAAGTGGAAACTTACAGAAAGTCAAGGCTTTATAGACTATGAAAACCTCTACTTCATTCAGAAGCTTTATCTCTCTATTCTCGTCTCTCTAGTGAAGATAACCATCAACTCAGCAACCAGCTGCTTGTCATGGTGCTCCAACACGTACCTGTTTAAGAAATCATGGTCTGTACATACAAAACAGACCCCAATGGAGGGAGTTCACTTTCAAGCATCATTCATTTGGACATGAGAGCTTTGATAACGTTACACCTTGGCACAGTCCTCTTCTCCATACTACTTCCAAGTACCTGAGGGTTTGAAACCAAGGCCTTTAATGGCCAATTCGTCTTCTTCACCACAAACTCAGCCTTCTTCTTCACCGTCTCTGCAGAATAAATAAGGCAAGGAGGATATCGCTTGACCATCATCACAAACTCATCTCTAGTGAATCCTAGGCGAGCCTCTTCGAATTTTTCTTTCCCACAGATAGGTTGTGCATCGAATGTGAGCAAAGATAACAAAACTCTCTGTGGCACACCCAAATCTCTCAGAGCCAATACATTTCTGATTTTGTTCTCAAGATTACTACCTTGTGGCAAAGAATGACATAACTTCTCCAACTTGGGACTCCTATCCGCTTCTAAAAATCTCTTTGACGAAATCATAGTATACACTGATAGTTTTGTCCTCTTTCATAGTATATTACATTCAAAATTCACATATAACTCAGCCGAAAAAGAATAATATTAGAAAGATTTAAATTATAATACAAACTAAAAGAAAAGTATTCATCAACCAAAATTTAGATTTCACTGGAATGCAACATGAGTATGATGATTGTATTGTTAAAGTTGTATAATTAAATATCAACATAAGTGAAAACAGAAATTAGATCAATCGCTGAAGATGTAAAATCTTATATAGATTGTGAAATCATTTTCACATATTACAAAAATAATAAAAAAAATTCATAAATATACGAAAAACTACATATTTTAAAGAATTTTTGAATAATAAAAAAGCACCATTAAATTGCTTGTATTTTAAGCATATATACATAATAAATAAACAAGAAATGGCCAAAACAGTGGTAAAAATTATATTTTTATGTTTATTTCATAATCAAGTAGCCAAAAGATTACAAATCATAATCTTTATTATAATTAAATTGATAAAAAAATTATTGTTGTTAAAAAAACAAAATGATTAATGAAAATGTGATTAACTGCCTATGCCTAATACTTTACATGAAACTTTAATCATAACACGATTGACAAAGCCCATCGGAAACAAAATCCCAAAACAATCATGCATAACACCGAGTAGAACGGAGCAACAATCGCTTGTGATATTACTGAGCTTGAAATGTTTCACTGCATCTACACAATTAGGAATTTGCATTGTCTTTGTCACACAAGACCATGGATTTGGTGGAAGTCCTTTCTCGGACATTGAAGCAAGCGCAAGTTCTTTATTACCTTTCACATATTGAGAAATTGATAGGATCAGTATTAGCACTACTAAGATGTACACACACAATCTTTACTTCTGTCCACTCATCTTTTTTTGTTGATGCAAATGGTATTTGAGTTTGGGATTACTATGATGACTTTCTTGAGAGAATTTATAAATCATGTATGGTTATGACATTTTTAGTAGCTGATATGTACTTAAATTCTGTTGATTTTGTAGATTCTTGTATCAATATTGTTATAATTTCTAACCTTTTTGAATAAAACATTTCATATATAACATCAGTTACATATAATATGGATACGCATATCGCAAATAAATCTATTTAGATTATTCGTGATTATATATTAAGTTTTTGTTTTTTATAAAATAATATTTTTAATTTATAAAACACCAAAAAGTCTAAAAATTACATTTTTATTTTGCAATAAATATGTGCTTATTGTTACTTTATTTTTATTAAATATTCAAAATTATATATCAAACATATGAAGAAGGTTTATAAATTAAACAATATAGTAACACAAATATATATAAAAAAAGAAATACCAAGGTATGAATTTTTAAAAAATAACATCATACAATAAAGAACCTATATATATATATATAAATTAAGCAAGTGTCCGATTCACAGGTTTTTATAATCTGTGTTTCGAACTCTCAAATATTGTCCTAAACACCAACAAATATATGCACAATGTTTGATGTAGTACAAACTAAGCAAAATGAAATCTAGAACGGTGGAAAGTGAAGATGTAAGTGAAACAGTTAAATGAGGTGTTGGATTATTCGGGAAAATCTTTGGGATTCTAATTAGATTGAACAAGAATTAAAAGCAAAGCAAACATGACTAGCCCTACTTTTCCTAAATTTGAATCATGATTTTATTTGTTGACATTTAACTGCATTTATTTATACTTTATATATGAAAATAACTCATATAGAAAACATAATTAATTGTTATTTACAAAAGTATAGCATCTTATGTGGTAACCAAATATTCTGATTTATATGCAGTATTGAGAGATGTTTTTGGGCTTCAAACTGAACTAGTTGATCTCAAAATTATGTTCTTCAAATGTGTTTGATAGAAATCAATAATTAGGAAAGGTACACAAATGAAACAGTTACAAATTATCAATATTAATGTTAAAGAGCGTTATGAATAATATGTTCTATTTGTTTAACCCCCCCCCCCCCCCCCCCCCCCCCCCCCGACCGCCCCTATCGGCGAGTCACCCATCCCTCCGCCGGGCTTGTGGGCCCCACCCCTGTCCGACAGCCAGTGCGTTATTTTTCTTGGAGCCCAACCGACTTATTTACTGACCCTGCAATCACAACATGATTTTTCCCCGTGTTTTGGCCTCACTCACACGGTTTCGGGAATCACTTCCTGAATGGTCACCCATCGTAGTCCTACTCTCGCCCAAGCACTCTTAACTGCGGAGTTCTGATGGGATCCGGTGCATTAGTGCTGGTATGATCGCACCCATCCTAGTACTACTCCGGCTCAAGCACCCTTAACTGTGGAGTTCTCTCGGGACCAGTGACCAAAAAGATAAGTGCACTTTGGTGACATAGGTAGCCAAATTAATCCATTTAAACTTATTCAAACGGGCCGGGCCCGGGTCGTTACTGTTTTGGCTTCCCAAGCAGGTAAAGTATGTTATATTCAAAATTCACAGATAACTAAGCCGAAAAAAAAAAATATCAGAAAGCTAAAATTATGATACAAACTAAAAAAAAAATATTTGTCAACAAATATTCAGATTATACTGGAATGCAACATGAATACGATGATTGAATTGTTAAAGCTGGTTAATTAAATATCGAGTAGAATATCTTGATGATTCAGAAGTGTAAACAGAAATTGAATCAATCACTGAAGATGTAAATTCTTATATAAATAGTGAAATCATTTTCCACATATTATATAAATGATAAAAAAAAAATTTCATAGAGATATGAAAAGCTACAATTTTAAAATTTTTGAACAATAATAAAGCACCATTAAAATGCTTGTAATTTTAAGCATATAAACATAATAAATAAACAAAAAATGACCAAAACAGTGGTAAAAAATTCTATTTTTGTGTTTATTTTATAATCAAGTAGAAAAAAGTTTACAAATCATAATCGTTATTATAAATAAATTGATAAAATATTATTATTGTTAAAAAATGATTAACGAAAATGTGATTAACTACCTATGCCTAATACTTTACATGAAACTTTAATCATAACACGAGAAACAAAACCCATCGGAAACAAAATCTCAAAACAATCTTGTGTAACACCGATTAGAGCGGAGCAGCAATCTCTTGTGATATTTCTGAGCTTGAAATGTTTCACTGCATCTACACAATTAGGAATTTGCATTGTCTTGGTCACACAAGACGATGGATTTAATAAAGACCTTTCTCGGATATTGGAGCAAGTGCAAGTTCTTTATTACCTTTTTCATATTGAGAAATTGATAGGATCAATATTATCACTACTAAGATGTACACACACAATCTTTGCTTCTGTCCACTCATCTTTTCTTGTTGATACATATTGTATTTGAGCTTGGGATTACTATGATGACTTTCTTGAGAGTATTTATAAATCATGTATGGTTATAAAAATTTTAGTAGCTGATATGTCATAATTTTTGCTGATTTTGTAGATGCTTGTATCAGTATTGTTATAATTTCTTAACTTTTTGAATAAAAGATGTTAAATATAGTATGAAGACGCATATCTCAAATAAATCCATCTAGATTTTTGGTGATTATATATTATGTTTTTTTTTTAATAAAATCACATTTTTAATTTATAAAACACCAAAACGTCTAAAAGGTACATTCTTTATTTTGCAATAAATATGTGGTTAGGGTTACTTTATTTTATTAAATATTCAAAATGATATATCAAATATATTAAGAAGGTATATAAGTTAAACAATATAGTAACATAAATCTAAAAAAAAGAATTACCAAGGTATGAAGTGCAATTTTAAAAAAGAACATCATACAATAAAGAATTTATGTATATCTATAAGAATTAAGACGAGTTTCCGATTAACAGATTTTTATAATCTGTGTTTCGAACTCTAAAATATTATCCTAAACACCAACAAATATATGCACAATGTTCGATGTAGTACAAGCTAAGCAAAACGAAATCTAGAACGGTGAAAAGTGAAGATGTAATTGAAACAGTTAAATGAGGCTTTGGATTATTCGAGAAAATCTTTGGGGTTCTAACTAGATAGAAAAAGAATTAAAAGCAAAGCAAACATGACTAGCCATACTATCCCTAAATTTGAATAATGATTTTATTTGTTGGCAATTAGCTGCATTTATTTATACTTTATAGATGAAAACAACTCATATTAAAAACTAAAATTAATTGTCATTTACAAAAGTATACCATCTTATGTTGAACGAAATATTCTGATTTATATGCAGTATTGAGAGATTTTTTTGGGCTTCAAACTGAACTAGTTGATCTTAAGATTATGTTCTTCAAATGTGTTTGATAGAAATCAATAATTAGGCAAGGTACACAAATGAAAGAGTTAGAAATTATCGATATTAATGCTAAAGAGAGTTATGAAAAATATGTTCTTTTTGTTTTGGCTTCCCAAGTAGGTAAAGTATGTTATATACAAAATTTACAGATAACTGAGCCAAAAAAGATAAATATCAGAAAGCTAAAATTATGATTCAAACAACAAGAAATGTATTCGTGAACAAAAATTTAGATTTCACTGGAATGCAACATAAGTACGATGATTGTATTGTTAAAACTGTATAATTAAATATCGAGTAGAATAACTTGATGATTCAAATGTGAAAACAGAAATTGGACCAATCGCTGAAGTTGTAAATTCTTATATATATTGGGAAATCATTTTGCACATATTATATACATGATAAAATAAATTCATAGAGATACGAAAAGCTACATTTTTTAAATATTCAAATAAAAAACCACCATTAAATTGCTTAGAAATTTAAGCATATACACATAGTAAATAAATAATAGATGTACAAGAAAATGGTAAAAAAATATATTTTTGTGGTTATTTAATAATCAAAAAGCAAAAAGTTTACAAATCACAATCGTTATTATAAATTAAATTGATCAAAAAAATTAGTAATGAAAATGGGATTAGCTGCATATGCCTAATACCTTACATGAAACTTTAATCATAACACGATAGACAAAACCCATCGGAAACAAAATCCCAAAACAATCTTGTGTAACACCAAGTAGAACAGAGCAGCAGTCTCTTGTGATATTTTTGAGCTTGAAATGCTTCACTGCATCTACACAATTAGGAATTTGCATTTTCTTTGTCACACAAGACAATGGATTTGGTAGAATCCCTTTCTCGGACATTGGAGCAAGCACAAGTTCTTTATGACCTTTTGCATATTGAGAAATTGATAGGATCAGTATTAGCACTACTAAGATATACACACACAATCTTTGCTTCTGTCCACTCATCTTTTCTTGTTGATACAAATTGTATTTGAGTTTGGGATTACTATGATGACTTTCGTGAGAGTTTATAAATCATGTATGGTTATGATATTTTTAGTAGCTGATATGTACTTAGTTTCCTTTGATTTTGTAAATGATTGTATCAACATTGTTATAATTTCTTACCTTTTTGATTAAAACATTTCATATATAGCGTCAGTTGCATATAGTATGAATACGCATATCGCAAATAAATCCATTTAGGTTATTTGTGATTATATTTTAAGTTTTTTGTTTTTTCATGAAATCACATTTTCATTTATAAAACACCAAAAAGTCTAAAAGGTGCATTCTTTATTTTGCAATAAATATGTAGTTAGCGTTACTTTATTTTTATTAAATATTCAAAATTATATATCATTTTTATGATGAAGGTATATGAATTACCAAGGCATGAAGTGAAATTTTTTAAACAAATATCATACAATAAAGAATCTATGTATATCTATGAGAATTAAGCCGAGGTTTCAATTCACAGATTTTTATAATCTGTTTTTCGAACTTTAAATTATTGTCCTAAAACCAACAAATATATACACAATGTTCGATGTAGTACAAGCGAAGCAATACGGTATCTAGAACGGTGGAAAGTGAAGATGTAATTGAACAATTAAATGAGGCGTTGGATTCGTCGGGGAAATCTTTCGGGGTTTTAACTAGATTGAACAAAAATTAAAAGCAATGCAAACATTACTAGTCCTACTTTCCCTAATCTTGAATCCTGATTTTATAATTTACCTACTTTCGTAAACTAAAACGACTATCGTTTCCTTTTAAATCTGTATTATGAATAACTTGTTGACAATTACTGCCTTTAATTTTACATTATATATGAAAACAACTCATATCAAAGACATAAATAATTGTCATTCACAAATGTATACCATCTTTTGTCGTAACCAAAATTTTGATTTATATGCAGTATTGAGAGATGTTTTGGGCTTTAAACTGAACTAGTTCATCTATAAATCATGTTCTTCAAATGTGTTTGATATAAATCAAAAATCAGGAATAGTACACGAATGAGCGAGTTAGAAATAATCGATATTAATGCTGAAGAGAGTTATGAAAAATATGTCCTTTTTATTTTGGCTTCCCACGCAGGTAAAGTATGTTATATTAAAAATTCACAGATAACTCAGCCGAAAAAGTAAATATCAGAAAGCTAATATTATGATTCAAAATACAAGAAAAGTATTTGTTAACCAAAATTTAGATTTCACTGGACTTCAACATGAGTACGATGATTGTATTGTTAAATCTGTATAATTAAATATCGAGTAGAATACCTTGATGATTCAAATGTGAAAACAGAAATTGGACCATTCAATGAAGTTGTAAATTCTTATATAGATTTGGAAATCATTTTCCACAGATTATATACATGATAAACAAAATTCATAGAGATACGAAAAGCTACATTTTTAAATTTTCAAATAATAAAAAACCACCATTAAATTGCTTATAATTTTAAGCATATACACATAATAAATATATAATAGATGGACAAAAGAGTGGTAAAAAATTCTTTTCGTGTGTTTATTTTATAATCAAAACGCAAAAATTTTACAAATCACAATCGTTATTATAAATTTAATTGATCAAAATATTATTGTTTTTTTTTTAAATTATTAATGAAAATGTGATTAGCTGCCTATGCCTAATACTTTACATAAAACTTTAATCATAACACGATAGACAAAACCCATCGGAAACAAAATCCCAAAACAATTTTGTGTAATACCGAGTAGAACGGAGCAGCAGTCTCTTGTGATATTTCAGAGCTTGAAATGATTCACTGCATCTACACAATTAGGAATTTGCATTGTCTTTGTCACAAAAGACAATGGATTTGGTAGAACCCTTTTCTCGGACATTGGAGCAAGCACAAGTTCTTTATTACCTTTTGTATATCAAGAAATTGATAGGATCAGTATTAGCACTACTAAGATGTACACACCCAATCTTTGCCTCTGTCCACTCATCTTTTCTTGTTGATACAAATTGTATTTGAGTTTGGGATTACTATGATAACTTTCATGAGAGTATTTATAAATCATGTATGGTTATGTTATTTTTAGTAGCTGATATGTACTTAATTTCCTATGATGTTGTAGATGATTGTATTAATATTGTTATAACTTCTTACCTTTTTGAATAAAACATTTCATATATAGCATCAGATATCTGTAGTAAAAATACGCAAATTGCAAATAAATTCATTTAGATTATTCAGAATTATATATATAGTTTTTTTTAATAAAATCACATTTTTAATTTATAAAACACCAAAAAGTCTAAAGGGTACATTCTTTATTTTGCAATAAAAATGTGGTTAGCGTTACTATATTCTTATTAAATATTAAAAACTATATATCAAACATATGAAGAAGGTATATGAATTAAACAATATGGCAACATAAATATAAAAACAAGAATTAACAAGGTATGAAGTGCAATTTCTTTATAAAAAAATCATACAATAAAGAATCTATGTATATCTATAAGAATTACGAAGAGGTTCCAATTCACATGTTTTTATAATCTGTGTTTCGAACTTAAAATTATTATCCAAAAAAACCAACAAATATATACACAATGTTTGATGTAGTACAAGCGAAGCAAAACGAAATCTAGAACGGTGGAAAGTGAAGATGTAACTGAAACAGTTAAATGAGGTGTTGGATTCTTCGGAGAAATCTTCAGGGTTCTAACTAGATTGAACAAAAATTAAAAGCAAAGCAAACATGACTAGTCCTACTTTCCCTTAACTTGAATCATGATTTTATGATTTACCTACTTTGGTAAACTAAAAAGACTACAGTTTACCTTTAAATATTTATTATGAATAATTTGTTGGCAAATAACTGCATTTAATTATATTTTATAGATGAAAACAACTCATATAAAAAGCAAAATTAATTGTCATTTACAAAAGTATACCATCTTATGTCGAACCAAATATTCTGACTTATATACAGTATTAAGAGATATTTTTGGGCTTCAAACTGAACTAGTTGATCTTAAAATTATGTTCTTCAAATGCGTTTGATATGAATTAAGAATTAGGAAAGGTACACAAATGAACATGTTAGAAATTATCGATATTAATGGTAAAGAGAGTTATGAAAAATATGTTCTTTTTGTTTTGGCTTCCCAAGTAGGTAAAGTATGTTATATTCAAAATTCACAGATAACTCAGCCGAAAAAATAAATATCAGAAATCTAAAATTATGATTGAAATTAAATGAAAAGTATTCATTAACCAAAATTTGGATTTCACTGGAATGCAACATGAGTACGATGATTGTATTGTTGAAGCTGTATAATTAAATATTAAATAGAATACCTTGATGCTCCGGAAGTGAAAACAGAAATTAGATCAATCACTGAATCTGTAAATTCTTATATATATTGGGAAATCATTTTCCGCATATTGTATACATGATTAAAAAATTCATAGAGATACGAAATGCTACATTTTTAAATTTTTGAGTAATGAAAAACCACCACTAAGTTGCTTATAATTTTAAGCATATAGACATAATAAATAAACAATAGATGGACAAAACAGTGGTAAAAAAATCTATTTTGTGTTTATTTAATAAGCAAAAAGTTTACAAATCATAATGATTATTATAAATTTAATTGATAAAAAAATTATTGTTGTTTAAAATAATGATTAATGAAAGCATTATTAGCTGCCTATGCCTAATATTTTACATGAAACTTTAATCATAACACGATAGACAAAACCCATCGGAAACAAAATCCCAAATCAATCTTGTGTAACACTGAGTAGAACAGAGCAGCAGCCTCTTGTGATATTTATGAGCTTGAAATGTTTCACTGCATCTACACAATTAGGAATTTGCATTGTCTTTGTCACACAAGACAATGGATTTGGTAGAATCCCTTTCTCGGACATTGAAGAAAGCGCAAGTTCTTTATTATCTTTCGCATATTGAGAAATTGATAGGATCAGTATTAGCACTACTAAGATGTACACACACAATCTTTGCTTAGGTCCACTCATCTTTTCTTGTTGATACAAATTGTATTTGAGTTTGGGATTACTATTATGACTTTCGTGAGAGTATTTATAAATCATGTATTGTTATGACATTTTTAGTAGCTGATATGTACTTAATTTCCTTTGATTTTGTAGATGATTGTATCAATATTGTTATAATTTCTTACTTTTTTGAATAAAAAATTAATATATAGTATCAGTTACATATAGTATGAATAAGAATATCGCAAATAATTCCATTTAGATTATTCGTGATTATATATTAAGTTTTTTATTTTTTCATAAAATCACATTTTTAATTTATAAAACAACAAAAGTCTAAAAGGTACATTCTTTATTTTCCAATAATTATGTGGTTGTTGTTACTTTATTTTTATTAAATATTCAAAATTATATATCAAACATATGAAAAAGTGTTATGAATTAAACAATATTGTAACATAGATATAAAACCAAGAATTACCAAGGTATGAAGTGCAAATGAAAAAAAAAACATCATACAATAAAGAATCTATGTATATCTATAATAATTAAGACGAGTTTCCGATTCACAGTTTTTATAATATGTGTTTCGAACTTTAAATTATTATTTTAAAAACCAACAAATATATGCACAATGTCTGATGTAGTACAAGCGAAGCAAAACGAAATCTAGAACAGTGGAAAGTGAAGATGTAATTGAAACAGTTAAATGAGGCGTTGGATTCTTCGGAAAAATCTTCGGGGTTCTAACTAGATTGAACAAAAATTAAAAGCAAAGCAAACATGACTAATCCTACTTTCCCTTAACTTGAATCATGATTTAATGATTTACCTACTTTGGTGAACTAAAACGACTACAGTTTACCTTTAAATCTTTATTATGAATAATTTGTTGGCAATTGACTGCATTTATTTATACTTTATTGATGAAAACAACTCATATAAAAAAAAAATTAATTGTCATTTACAAAAATTTACCATCTTATGTCGAACCAAATATTCTGATTTATATGCAGTATTGGGAGATGTTTTTGGGCTTCAAACTGAACTATTTGATCATAAAATTATGTTCTTCAAATGCGTTTGATATAAATTAATAATTAGGAAAGGTACACAAATGAACGAGTTACAAATTATCATTATTAATGCTAAAGAGAGTTATGAAAAATATGTTCTTTTTGTTTTGGCTTCCCAAGTAGGTAAAGTATGTTATATTCAAAATTGACAGATATCTCAGCCGAAAAAATAAATATCAGAAAGCTAAAATTATGATTCAAACTAAATGAAATGTATTCGTTAACCAAAATTTAGATTTCACTGGAATGCAACATGAGTACGATTATTTTATTGTTGAAGCTGTATAATAAATATCAAGTCGAATACCTTGATGCTTCAGAAGTGAAAACAAAAATTAGATCAATCGCTGAAGATTTAAATTCTTATATAGATTCTGAAATCATTTTCCACATATCATATACATGATAAAAAAAAACAATTCATAGAGATACGAAATGCTACATTTTTAAATTTTTGAGTAATAACAAACCACCATTAAATTTCTTATAATTTTAAGCATATAGACATAATAAATGAACAATAGATGGACAAAACAGTGGTAAAAATATCTATTTTTGTGTTTAGTTAATAAGCAAAAAGTTTACAAATCATAATCATTATTATAAATTTAATTGATAAAAAAAAATTACTGTTGTTTAAAAAAATGATTAATGAAAACGTTATTAGCTGCCTATGCCTAATACTTTACATGAAACTTTAATCATAACACGATAGACAAAATCCATCGGAATCAAAATCCCAAAACAATCTCACGTAACACCGAGTAGAACAGAGCAGCAGTCTCTTGTGATATTTATGAGCTTGAAATGTTTCACTGCATCGACACAATTAGGAATTTGCATTGTCTTTGTCACACAAGACAATGGATTTGGTAGTATCCCTTTCTCGGATATAAGAGCAAGCGCAAGTTCTTTATTACCTTTCGCATATTGAGAAATTGATAGGATCAGTATTAGCACTACTAAGATGTAGACACACAATCTTTGCTTATGTCCACTCATCTTTTCTTGTTGATACAAATTGTATTTGAGTTTGGGATTACTATTATGACTTTCGTGTGAGTATTTATAAATCATGTATAGTTATGACATTATTAGTAGCTGATATGTACTTAATTTCCTTTGATTTTGTGGATGAATGTATCAATATGGTTATAATTTCTTACTTTTTGAATGAAAAATTCAATATATAGTATCAGTTACATTTAGTATGAATATGCATATCGCAAATAATTCCATTTAGATTATTCGTGATTATATATTAAGTTTTTTATTTTTTCATAAAATCACATTTTTAATTTATAAAACAACAAAAGTCTAAAAGTACATTCTTTATTTTGCAATAATTATGTGGTTAGTGTTACTTTATTTTTATTAAATATTCAAAATTATATATCAAACATATGAAAAAGTGTTATGAATTAAACAATATAGTAACATAGATATAAAACCAAGAATTACCAAGGTATGAAGTGCAATTGAAAAAAAAAACATCATACAATAAAGAATCTATGTATATCTATAAGATTTAAGACGAGTTTCCGATTCACAGTTTTTATAATATGTGTTTCGAACTTTAAATTATTATTCTAAAAACCAACAAATATATGCACAATGTTTGATGTAGTACAAGCGAAGCAAAACAAAATCTAGAACAGTGGAAAGTGAAGATGTAATTGAAACAGTTAAATGAGGCATTGGATTCTTCAGGAAAATCTTCGGGGTTCTAACTAGATTGAACAAAAATTAAAAGCAAAGCAAACATGACTAATCCTACTTTCCCTTAACTTGAATCATGATTTTATGATTTACCTACTTTGGTAAACTAAAACAACTACAGTTTACTTTTAAATCTTTAATATGAATAATTTGTTGGCAATTAACTGCATTTATTTACAC